AGTGTTCCAAATCTTGCTAAGCAGATCTCAGACATACCTAGACACGCCTAAACTGGAAAACCACTTCGGGCTAGGTTTCTGGCAGAACTCCATATTATAATCTTGTCTAGCGAGTATCCTTTGTACCTCCTGTCTCCTTTGGGACTGACTCATCTGCACTGCTAGTTCAAAAATCTCTAAGAAAGAGGAAGAATAAGAATTAAAGGTGGAGTTACTGCTGATTCTGACCTAATTTAAGCTTGCTGTCAAGGAATTTCTGTGGAACATATTCTTTCTCATTACTTTTTTGAAATAATTTGGCCAAAAGCATCCAGGAAGGACAGGTGTTTACTACTAATGTATATGACTAAAGTTCAGCTAGTCCTGGCATCTCACTATCGAAACTAGTCATTAGTTTTAATTTTCATTAGATGTAATCTCTAGCTGTGGACTATAATAGATGTATTCAATTTTAGCTACAGATAACCTACTGTCTAGTTCTGTGGAGAATGCAGATCAAGAAACTTTGCCCACCTTAGGTACCAAACTACCTGCACTGCAACGCTCTGCATGTTCCACACCTCTTACCCAAGCAAATCGTTGCACCAAAGAGCAAGACTACAGGCCTAAATCAACTGGTAGAAAGACTCCTACAATGGCCTCCCCAGTCCCAGGAGGCCCTTTTCTTCGTCCTGTTCATCAAGTACCCCTTGTTCCCCATGTACCGATTGTACGACCTGCTCACCAACTGCATCCAGGATTGGTCCAGAGAATGCTGGCACAGGGGGTTCATCCGCAACATCTTCCTCTACTGCAAGCAGGTAATCTCTGCTTTTTTTTCCTTAAGTTTAATGCATCTTCTCTGTAAGACTGACTTTGTGTTAGGAACAGCACAAACTGGTGCTCTGACTGGTAATGTTTATTACACCAAAACTTACCTTTAAAACCAGGCAATAAAATTCCAACCCATCTAAATATACAGAGGTTTGTTTTGCTGTAGTTCCTTAAGCTTATTAGGTAAGAAGTTTTCTCGCTCCTGTTCAACAGGTATGCTTCCTCCTGGAGTGGACCTGTCTCACTTGCAGGGAATATCTGCTCCCATCCTCAGTCAACCTTTTTATCCACTACCAACAGCCAGCCATCACATCTTAAATCCGCGTTCTGGGACACCTTTGCAGCTAGCGATGATGCAGCAGCAACTACAACGATCAGGTAGGCTAAAACGTAATGCAGGAGTGTGAGCCTTAGAACACTGTCCTGCTCTGAGTACTACACTTGTTGGCCTGTTTCAGTATACTGGGCTGACTGGAAGCTACTTTAATAATTTAGATATTTGTAGTCACTGGTCTTGTGTGGGTATAAGAGTGGTTTTGGCCACTGCAGGCTCTTATGCTGGAAGAAAGTCCAAGTGAAGCATTGTTTCAAGGTGGATGTTGCTTCTGCAGCATGTGTGTGGGCTTTCCTTCCTTGCTGGGTGTGAGAGGGCACCCACCTATCTCAAAATGCTGTTTGATGCTGGTCTTCCAGCTAAAACCTATGTGCCAGTGTGTCCAGAACTGGCAGTGTCAGGCAGTTCATGGGAGTACTGATGAGTAAATAAATGCGTGGGGTCTGGATTTCCCAGGGCTAATAGAATGAGTAAAAGCCACGTGCAGCTCATGTGCCTTATCAGGTGGTTGCTGTAGGGCAAATCTCAGTGTTGAGTGGCCATATTACTCCACCTCTAATAGCTGTACGTTTCACAGGCACTGGAGCACAGGGATCACCCGCTGGTGCGCAAACAACCCCTCAGAACGTGCTGTCTCGGACTGGGTTATCTCATGGGCACACACAGCTGGACCATCGCCCCAGCCAGAGAAGTGGCTCTCCCATTGGCCTTGCGAAATGGTTTGGTTCAGATGTCTTGCAGCAGCCTCTCCCTTCCATGCCATCCAAAGTCATCAGTGTAGATGAACTGGAATACCGGCAGTGAACAGTGACCACTGGGTGGGACACTTGCGATTCTTTAGACTGGATGAAAATGTCCATAGTCAGGACTTCACCTGTGTTTGTTTTTTGGGGCTTTTATTTTAGCACTCTGTGCAAAGATTTCTTTTTGAGAGACTAAAGCACATGGCACCTGTCCTGGTCTCATGTCTGCATCAAGACTAAAGGATCCATTATGGCTTAAATAGTGAAGCCTGAAGAAATTTAGATGCAAGACAAAGCCAGTTTAATCCTGGAAGTGTCTGGTTTTTTGTTTTTGTAAGATATGTGAATGAAGTGCTGATATTCTCTAGTGTAGAGGTAGCAGCTATGGATTCCTCCTGCAGAAAACTAAATGTATAGACTCTTGTGTACAGACTTGTGTATAAACAATCTTTTGTATATATACACATAGAATAGCCTTTTTGAATCTATACAGCTGTACATAAGAGTAGGCGATAACAGTTGAGCTTTAGTTGTGCCTATGGTTTGGATCCTTCTCCATTGTATGTGTGGGACTTTCCTTAAGATTAAAGTTGCATATCCTAAGCGTGAGTGAACAGGATGAAGTTGCTTTGCCTTTCCTTGCTGCTCATCTCCTCTAGGTCTCCCTCGCATTCCTGTCATGTACTCTGTGCACTCAGTGTAGCTCAAGTGTCAAAGTGAAAAGCCCACATCTTGCTGTCTGTATAACAAAGGTCTGATTCCTTGTGCGTATGACTCTTGCCATCAAATGAGAGAATTGTTTAGTCTTCGAACAGCCTTGAGGATGGGACCTGGTACAGTAACAATAAGCCAGATCTTCAGTCTGCCACAAGCAGAGACTGTAGGTACCTACTGGTCATAATTCTTTCAAGAGGGCTGGTGCTGGTCCTTGTTTAGCTGCAGTATTTTCCTTGTTTTAATCTTTCACACCAGTTACTGAAGGTCACAAAATGGAGCCTTTGAATCCTCACCCTTCAATTCCTCAGTCCTAGCTGTGGTATGTTCTATGCTGCCTTCAGTTCTATTTATAGAAGGGAGTCCCAAGAACTGTCCTAAATCAAGTGTGCATCTCCTGATGCAGTTACTGTGAAATGCCTTTGGAGTCCTGTCCTGTGGCTTGAAGGGGGGAGGAGTTGGGGTGGTTTTGTGATCTTACTGTGTGTATTTGGTTTTAAAATACTATGTTCCTTTTAAGCCTGTTTCACTTTCCTGAACAGTTAAGTGTTTTCTTCCATCCTTCTACTGCATGGTTCCTCACTTCATTCTCACTTGTGTTGAGTCTAGTACTGCTGTCATGTCCTCTATCTAGCTTAGGCCATTGTGCTCTTTTTAAAAAGGTGAAAGCAGAACCAGAATTCTCACAGGTTTGCTCTTTCTTAGGTCTCACTGAATGCAAAACCAGCAGCAGAAAAAAAAAAAATCACTTGACTGTATTATAACAATTGCCAGCATGCTGTGGTGGGTTTGTTTCAGTCCAGCAGAGACCATGTTGTACAGAAGTAGCAAGCTGAACTCTCCAATGTGGAATCTGTTGGGGGTCACCTGTACTTCTAGTGGTTGTTCCTTAAAACAATCTGTAAAACATGCAATCACCAGCTTGTCCTTGTAAGATTGTTTTCATACTTTTTTAACTTGACACTTTCCCAGTAACGTTCTGTAAATAAAGTTGATTCTACCAGCTGTCTGTATCAACTGCTCTTGAACTAAACTATGTCAGTATATTGGCTAGTATTTAGTGGTGGTCTTGTGTGTAAGCCAGAACAACAGTTAGAGCTGAATCTGCAGAGACCTTTAACTTCAGTTGATCTTCCAGGGGGGAGAGGGCAACAGTCTGCTTTGAAGGTAAATGGCCTCACTGGAGATGTGTAATGGAATAGCTGCATTGAAATGATACCTTTCTCAGCTGACAATGTAACAACAGTAGCCTTACTAATTAAAATTTGGTTTTGGACAGCCGTGGTTAAGTTTAAGTAGTGAGACTCCAGCGTACTAGAAGAACTGGTACCACTAAGGAGCTCTAAAGAAAAGGGTGAATGAGGTTCACTGCTCATAGCCTCAACTGCCTCCTCCCAGTCACAGCTGGTAACCCCAGCACATCTGCAGCAGTTCAGCTCTTACACAGGAATCTACTTCTAAGCTTCAAAAAACATTATGGGGAATGCTGGGAGTACTATTGAGGCTTGAATACTTTCTTGCCAAGCTGAAGAGCAACCACTGGTGCAAGGATTTAGTGCTTGAATGGGTGTCTGAAATCACTGTACTTCCCTTTTTGTATGTATAGTAATGAGAGCATTTTTGACACGTTTAAGCAACCACCCTTACTTCCTTTTTGTAGGAGAGCAAATGCTGGAGGCTAACACATTTGATAGCGCTCTAACATGAGCTAAAAGCTTAACTTTTTTTAATTTCCTAAAAATAAATAGAACCACTGCTTTTAGAGCAGCCTGCTTCTCTTGTGCAACTTACTCAACTTCTCTAAAAAAGGCAGGAAATTCTTCGAAGGAAACTTAAAAGCTTCCTCTCACTTAGTACAGTAGAACACACGCATCTAGTTTACTTCCACTAGTATAAACAACTGAAAAAGTGACTGCTCATGAGCAGAACCTGCTGTCTTTTCCACAACTGCAGGATTATTAGTAGCCTTGAAGTATTCAAACAAGAACATTTCAGATTAAGGTAGAGTTAAACTGTATCCTCTAGCACTCTTTCATAAAATAACAGTTCTCCAGCCTCTGCTTCTCACGTTTTCTAATTTAGAACAAAATAATTCCTGATGTGTGAACTTCTTTGCAATTTGGAAAGACACATACATGCAGCTGAATATTGTCCCAAGCATCAAAGCTTTCTTGTAAGATTCTGCCCTTCTGAAAGTCCTTAACATGAGTTTATCATGTGTAAGTTCTGTCAGAGCGGGACACTGCAGTATGTGTTGGCCAGAAATGTCACTTTTACCACACAGTAAGTTACTACCGCAAAAAAAAAACAATACCCATTTGCTCTAGATTTGATAAAAACAGCCTGTTCTTTGTTGCTTACAACTAATGACAATTTTCAGGCACAGTGGCAAATTGTGTGAGAACAACTTTATTTCTTCACAATCTGAATAACATCCTCATCTTCAAGAGTATGGTCTTTACCAACTTTTTGAGGGTTGTGCTTAACAGATGAACCCCAGACCAGTGCACTGAAAGGAGAAGAAAAATCAAATTTAAAAGGCTTAGAAATACAATACACAAAAAGCAGAACAACAGCTATTTTTGTCACAAAGCTAATACAGAAAGCAATGCTGACGAGCTATTTTTATTCTCCTGCAAGCACCTGGATGAGTGGTCTGTGTGAAACAGAGTACAAGCAGATCAAAACAAAGTATGAAGTCATCCAAAACACTTGTGTGTACAGGACAACGGCCCATAATGCTGTGTCTAGCTTTACTTCCAAATATAAAGAAAACATTTTCCCCACAGGGGAAATTTATATAGGAAAGAGCATAGGAACATCAAATACAGTAATTCATTTAAAAAAAAATAAAAATCAAATCCTGTTTTCCCTTCTGGTTTACAGGAGAAGGAAAGAATACACCAGGAGGCAGTTTACTTTCCATTTGCTAGAAATTCTCTTTCACAATAATACTTACTATTTAAAGTCTTTAATGAGATTTTTGTGGATCTTCATGCAAAAATCCTCCACTGTGGTCTTGCAGTAAGGTAGTACCACCGGAGAGGTGTAGTCTGGAAGCTGCCCTTTAGGTTTGGTGTAGCTGTAATGCAGATGGAACAGTCAGTCAACACCAAAACCTCCTCATCTCTCTCAACTCACCATGACGTTTCACAGGTTATTTGCAGTCCCCCAGGTGCTTGTGCCGAGTTCCACTATTTCTGTGGTGGCAACAGACGTTCTCTAAATTGTCTGCTGTTCTTCAGCTGAACAGGCATCTGGGCAGCCAACGGCTGCAGCAGGTTCTCCCTTGTAACTGCAAAGGTTTCTCACTAGTGAACTTTCTGCAGTTGCTTAAAAGGTGATGAAACAGGAATAGTTGACAGAAAAGAACATCTACAATATTATGGTTCCAACTTGCCATTTTTTTTTTCTGTGAGAAACTCAATGTATATTTGGAAAAAAACTGACCAAGTCTATAGCCCAGATACCTAGGCACACTAAATCCCTTTTTACAATATATTTTATATTGTCACAAGAAGGTAGATACGAGTTTAGAAGACTACAATTACTGTATTGCGAGTATTAGTAGACTCATTCATAAATTCATCCAAAGAAATGCATTAGTAGTATGAGGTAAACAAGTAATAATTTATAGTAAAAATAGTTGAAAGGCTAGTTGAAGAATTAAATTCAGTTCTGTTAAAAGAGCTGAATGCATGTCACTCATGACAGACTAAAAAAGGTACCTCTGAAATTCACAACTTGCACTAAGTTTGACTAGAATTCAATGTTTTCAGGAATTTTTTAAGATGTACTTTGAACTTGGTTTCACCAGATCTTTGTTTAATTCCCCTACAAGTTCAAAACAGAGCACTTCTGAGTGTTAGGAAACCGTCCATCACACAACAGACAAGAGGAGCACAATCTCCTTGATTTACAGACCAAACATACTTCAGTAACAAAAGACATCATCGTGTGAAAGCTAGAGTTCTAAGCCAGTAGTAAACCATTACAAAATAATTCTCATTCAACCATTCCTGAGACATTCTTCAGTCTCAGCCTCACACTTAACTCCACAGAAGGCAGCAACTGGGACTCACATTCGTACTAGCTTCAAGTAGTCCCAAATTTTCTCCAGCAGATCATCGAAGTTCCAGCGGTGATGAGCAGATATTGGTACACAGTGGGGTACTTTGTAAATAATATCTAGTTCCTCAATGGAAATCTGGTCAATTTTATTTAGGACATAAATGCACGGGATGTAAACCCTGCAAAGAGAAGGAAATACTGTTACAACAGCCCAGCAGCAATGCACTGCCACCTTCAAAAAGGCTTCATTTTTTTAAAAGGATGGGAAGGGGCTGAACAGCACTTGGTGATACCACACTGCTGTCTTAGCTTCTGTGGGAAGCAGACCTCAGAGACAATTCTTTTCTCTGGAATTTAAATTGCAAGTATGCCAAACCCAGGGTCCCAACAGTACCTGTTCCCTTCAACAACGTCGATTAGGTCATCAGCTGTGGCGTCACTGCGCAGTGTGACATCAGCGTTGTGAATTTTATACTCTGCTAAGATGCTCTTCACTGTTTCGGTATCCAGCTCACTCTGAGGACACTGAACACAGACACAGTATTAAGGAATGGACGAGTTTACAGTCAAATCAAGTATTAGAATGAATGATGCTATCACTCAGCAATCACTGCATACAGGTTACTAAAAATAATAGCTGCACTGGTAAGTTTTTGTACTTGAGTATGATTTTACCATCGTTAGCCTCAGGAGAGGGAAAAATATTTAAATCATGACAGGCTTATTTATATTAATGCCACTGATAGATGCAATCAGACATTTCAAAAGTAATGTTTCCTGTCAATCTGGGATAACCTGCATGTCTACTACAGACACATGTTAGGTACCCAGATTCCAGAGCAGAGTTCTGATTTTTGGTATCTCTGGCTGTTTCAACATTTTTAAGTGGTAAACAGGAAACAAGGAGTAGTCCAGGTCACAAGGCCTGGAACTCTGAGCAATCTTCTCCAGAAGAATGCTGCAGTCACCAAGTCAGAGGCGGTTTTTGCACTCTCTTCTGGGCCTCGGAACATGTAATTGTTGGAAGGCAACCAAGCCTCTGATTTGGGGGTGGGGAGGTGGTCAGGCTCCTGGGGCAGGTATGGATGGCCTCCAAGAAAAGTAACTGACTACAGCACAGTACAGCAATTCAGCATCTGAAGAAGTCATAGCACAGGAATGGTCCCAGGCAACCATTATCTGCAAATGCCTCTTTCTTCAAGTAATTTTTTTTTTCATTTTGGTTAAAGAAAACTTCCAACTTACTGTGGCTGTAAGGTTAATGCCTCCTTTATCCTTTTTTTTAAAGCCAATATTGGGGGGCTTACTATTCAGACGAATTCCAAATCCCTCCAGCTCATTCTCGATGATTTTCTTGTGACCAAGGGGTTTCAGCACATCCAGAACAATCAGAATGAGATTACAGGTTCGAGCAACTAAAAATTGGAAAAAAAATCATCTCTCAGAAAAGTATGCTCACACAAAACAAGACAAAAATACGGCTCAGTGGACTGATGACAATATTAAAACCCCTGAAGGCCAGTACATTGCTAACTCTTAAATACCAGTATGAGACTGAAGTTTGTAGTGCTGGCCAAGCATCACTGATAGACAGATCCTTGCATGTTACAAGAATCACAGGGACTGGAAAAATCTTCTTTCCTGTGTAGATTTGGACCGCAGAATGATGACAATAAGCAGGTAAAGAAATTAAGACAGCAGCCCTGTTTACCATGGGATCACATCTGCCTTCACAACTGGTAATATACTCTCACTGCAGCATCAAGGCAGAGCACAAACTCAGCAAATGCACAAAGCAGAACTGAAAACAGAACAAAACTAAAATGGCTACTACAGCGTACAATTCAGTTTTTTAAAGACCTCAGGAAGGGTGACTCAACCCTTCATTCTCATAAACTGTACTAACTGAACCAGTGATAGGATGCTGCCTCTGGCTCTAATATACTCACCTGCAATGACTTGCCGTCCTCTGCCTTTACCATCCTTGGCACCTTCAATAATTCCTGGGAGATCAAGTAGCTATTTGTTTGGAGGAAGCAAAGTAACTCATGAGAAAAATATTTTTCTTCATGGAGAAAACAAATCCTACTTTTACCTTTCTCCTAAACCAGCTGACTGTACTGCAAATCTGAACAGAATACAGCAAAATTGTTTCCCCTTTGATTCTTACATGTTGTATTATCCCTGGTGCCCTACTGGTACAAGGGAACAGACTATCTCATACAGAATATGAGAACTACCGCAGGAACTCCTCCTCAGAGCAAAGTGAAAAGCAGGGTAAAATTAGTACCTCATGGAAACATTGCCAATGTATTCTCAAGCACTTCTACATGTCAGTTCTAACCTGCTAACATCAGCCTAGACCATTCAGCCGTTAACACCACTGCATCTATACATGCCATCTTACCCTCACAGACACAAAAAGACCTCACCTGTATCTTTGCTCCTTTGTATCTAATGACTCCAGGCACAGTAGTGAGTGTAGTGAATTCATATGCTGCCACTTCAGAGTACACACCAGCGAGATTACTTAGAAGAGTAGATTTCCCCACTGATGGAAAACCCACAAACCCAATTCGAGCATCACCTGTCTTTGCAACGTCAAAGCCTGAAAACAGAAGCAAAAGTACTCGGTTTAACATGACCATTTTCTAAGGTACCAGACAGCAGTCCCGCTATTACTTTTAATATTGCCTGACTGAAACCCAGGTCAGCCTCCCTTCAAGGACAATGAGAGTATGAAACAGAGAGTTCACAGTCTCTACTGCCTTGCGCCGCTTCATCTGTATAACACTCCATGGCACGTACCTGTCAATAAGGCACATGGAGAGAAGGTTGCTCCGATGTACTCAGCTGACAGTCTGGCGCGATTTAAGCAGACAAGAGCCACCCCCATTAGACCGACTTCCGTCCCACCCCGCGTTTCAGCAGGGAGGAGCGGCCACTTCTGCAGAGGCCGCC